AATGTTTGGTCACTTTAGCTTGTCTTGCTATAGAGTGTAGAGTGCTATAACGTTCGTTTGGCTTCCCCACTTAAGACCGGACAACACTGATCGAGCCACGCTTTGGGCGCTTAAGCGGTTCTGCATGGCCTCCTGTTGCAGAGAGGAATCTGGTGACACGTGACAATCTTTTAATGCTCCTTGCTAGCTAACATATTTTGTTTGCTTAAAATGCCAATGCGCGTTGCTTTCTCGTAGCCGTCGGATACACTGTACACATGCGCAGTGTTTGTCTTCGTCGTAGCTCTTCTCCTCCGATCGAACTCCGATTTTGCTCACGCAGCCGTCCATTCTTGTGCACCGCGTCGGTGAAGTGGTAGAATCTTTGCCACTGATGTAGGAGGTACTGGGTTTGGTTCCCGTTGCTACAGGGTACCTGCCGGTTTTTCTAATGAGAGATTCGTGACGCTCAGGACAGTGTGTGGTTACATAGATGGAAATATGGCCTCTGCTATCTATCTATCTATCTATCTATCTATCTATCTATCTATCTATCTATCTATCTATCTATCTATCTATCTATCTATCTATCTATCTATGTATCTATCTATCTATCTATCTATCTATCTATCTATCTATCTATCTATCTATCTATCTATCTATCTATCTATCTATCTATCTATCTATCTATCTATCTATCTATCTATTATCTATCCCTCTCTCTCTTACACACACACACACACACTTTGTAATTAAATTGGCGTGAAAGTCCCCATTATATGGCATTGTCATTACCGAAGACAGTTATGCGATGCATCGTGCGGGTTTTTTTATCGTCTGAATCAGATTTTTAGCGAAGCGTCGATCCCGCAACTATACTGCCATTAGCATAACTTTAATACGTACTTTACGCTGGGCAGATGAGAGGAGCAGAAGCAAAAAGCCGAAAGATGGACCTGACAAGGTCTCAGTCCCTTTATCAGTACAACCTGCTTTACTACAACTCAGCCATCGCTCCGTCGATGGTGTTGTGGGCATCGTTACTATGTCATAATCGTTGTCTCACCAGTTATTTTTCTTTCTGGCGACGTGTATTAAGTCGGCTGAACTTTTTTTTTTTGTTTCATCTTCGACTAGCTCTCTGGGGTAGATTGGGAGTACTATAATATTGATTCCTATTTCCTTTTCGTCACAGCCCACATCCTTCCTTTCCCGTCTCTCTTTACTCCTCTCTATTTTTTTTTGTTTACTGGCAGCCTTTAATGATAGTGGTTTGGCAGATACATTTTTTTATTCATGTTCCCATTGTGTGATCACCTGGCTGGCGCAACATTGCCATAATATATTTCGTGACCGATCAATCAAACAAACAAATAAACATACAGAGTAAAAAGAAAATGCTGTTTCAAATGTATAACTGTCGCCGGCGCTGTCCCCTCGATGAGGCTGTCCAAGTGTAAAGAGGACTAGGTGTAATGAGTTCACTATCAATCACTTGTCTCTCCCTGCTATCACTTTCTGGGAGCAGCTTGATCAAAGAAGAGAAGGTAAACCTTTCTCTTTGTTTCTCTTTCTGAAAAAAAAAATACTATTTGGCGAGATGGTGGTTATCTTTTGGGGGCGTTGAAGCTAAAACCAGGCATCTATGTAAAGCGATAGGCACAGGACGGCCGCACAGCATTAACGCTTGTCCTCTGTGTCTCTAGTTCTAGGAGAATGTCTGGTTTCTCGCTCTGTTTCCCAAAATTCTGCATTTACTTTTCGGTACCGGTGTCTTTTCTTTGATGGTGTACGAGCGGCCTATGTGGTATATCTCGCTTACGTATATCTTTACTTCCAGCCGAACAAGTCTATTTCTCTTGCATTCCGCTCTGGTCAAACTACAGTCGTGAGTTCCCGATCGCATTTCTCGTTGTTTGCTAAACGGGTATTGACACAACTTTGTGAAGCCGAGTTTTCTACGCCATTCAAATATTTTGTATGCGAAGACCACTCTACGCAAGTGTGACTCTCTGTGAGTACTGACGACACATTTTATTTCGACATAAAGTCGATTTTTCCCGTGGCGAACCTATACTGATGCCGACATTTGTCGGGACATCAGAGTGCAGCGTCGACTCTCGCCGTTTCGAGCACCTGTATGTGACTCGTGACTTTGAGCATTTGACGACTTGAGCCACCAGCGTAATGAACATGGACGGGTGTGCGGCACCAGAAACGCTAAATGTGTTTCTTTTTGGTCATCAACGGTGCCACAGCCGAAAAAAAAAACGTCACGATATTTTGCAGGAGCACTTGTCGGAAAGGTGATACCATCTTCGGAAGTCAGGGTACAGTAGGAACGGAAAGTATCGTTTAAAAACGTGCCGTAATAATTTTCTCGTTGCTTGTTTACGCTTACCGGTAGAATTTTTAAGTTTTTTATTTGGCGAAAAAAAAAAAAAGTCAACCAACTCCGCTTCGCAGACACTGATAAATCTGGTTGCGGTCCCTTTCTCAGGCTAACGTATTTCTATGTTTGTCAAGTCCTCCATATATGTCGCATTTCTGCTCTTTAATTAACATTCTTCTTAAAGCTTTGATGGGGTTAGCATAGCTAATGCTGGCCTACTACCCCCCAAAAATAACATTAATGCCCTAGTGGTATCAAGCAAGAAGTGTGCTTGGAGTAGTTACCCAATGAGTGTTTTGAAAATGCTCTGAAAGGCCGCTCTTCTAGCTTTCGCTTTGACTTTCTGTGCCTTCCGCGCAGGCATGGCGTTTTTTTTTTTTTAGGTCCCGAAGATCAATCCATAGGTTGACGCAGGCGGCTCTCACGTTGGGACACTTTATAAGGTTTAACCTTACCGCCATGTTGTGGGCCTTCTGGACGGCTGAGGCGTTGACAAAACTGCAAATACGCTTAGAAACGACTCGTTGAAGAAACTAATCGTAGATGCCTCGGTCATGATGGAGCACGGCACTTCACCATAAGCGCTGTGAGAATTAAGGCAGTGGTAGATATAAGAGGCATATTTTTGGAACCGTGCGAAGTATGTGACCGTGGCGTAGTGGACAGCATGCCCGGCATCTGTATCTGTTGTCGTAGTCCCATGCAGAGCTCATTGGCTCGACGCCCGTTGACAGAACGTTTTGGGTGCGTGCGTGCGTGCGTGCGTGCGTGCGTGTGTGTGTGTGTGTGTGTGTGTGTGTGTGTGTGTGTGTGTGTGTGTGTGTGTGTGTGTGTGTGTGTGTGTGTGTGTGTGCGTGTGTTCTGTTTTAGTATCAACCTTTAAGAGGAACACAGATCTTGATTCCGCTCAAGTTATTCGCTATCGTCCATCATTGTCTTTTTTAAAGCGAGCGCGGTGTGGTCGGCCATGCCGCGCGTGTTCGTGCTTGTCCACTCCTTGCTCGGTGCACTCTTCCGTGTTCGGGAGTCTCCATGGTGACCGAACGGGGGGTGTTCCGAAAACTCGGGCTCGACGCGATGCCCACCGCTGGCGTGTGCACTTGCATGCACGCACCCCCGTCCTTCCCCCGCGAAGCCGACAAGAATGCGATACATGCTTATTCCATTAGTGAGTGATTCGGAGGACGCGCCTGTCACCCGTCTCTCTTCCTGATCGCAGCAACGCGGCTTGGTCGCAAGTGCGTGCTCGTTTGCGTGCCGAGTGCATCTCGTGCCGTATTGTTTTGAGAGGAAGTTTTATGTGTGTATACGCGCCGCTCTTCAGCGTTGCTCGTTCATGTAATGTCTCTATCTATTCACTTGCGAATGAATAGTTTTCTTTCTTTCTTTCTTTCTTTCTTTCCTTCTTTCTTTCCTTCTTTCCCCCTTTCTACAGGCATAAGCGAAATCTGCTGCGAAATATTACACCTATTAGTATATAGGATTCCTATAGCTGCTGGTAATAAATGTCGGTCTTATACGTATATGTACCTTCATCATATGCGGCCAATAAATTGTATGATATAGCAGAGTGATCCTATATGAAGAACTCGCTTGAATATTCACGCTACGATCTTTCTAGAGGTTTCTTGGTATATACGTTTGGGAGGGCAATTTTTTTTCACGGAGTCTACATGCATTTACGAAATCAGCTAACATGTTCTCGTCTAGTGATGTTTATTTTTTTTTTTTTGGTCCGGAAGTTTTCATGGCTGCAGAAATTTCGTGTGATACACGACAAGCAAATATGTTTGGTTTGGCCGCAGCATTCGTTGCGGCATGCAACTGGAAAGGGCCACTTCAGTATTGCAGGGCTTAGGTGCTATATATTTTAGCATAGTCATCTTGCATACCGTATATCCGCGCATTCTATTAGTGCAGCAAAGGAAGTGCAACTTGAACTTGGTTTAGTGGACGGCCAAACATGCATGACGAGTTTTGGTCGACACCGCACTCAGTCGGTGTCCGCTCCGCGTTCCGGCCGTTGATCATGTATTCTAATTGAGCAAACTGTAGCTGTTTGTAGAGCATTTTCCTTCTTTATTATTCATGGTTTTGAGGAAGGACAGGTGGCGAGATCGTTGCGTTAGACATGCTTACGGAAGTATTTCATTTATTCGGCTGTAGTCGCAAATGCAGCAATCTGTTCGGCTGTCCATTTGCATTTATACGCGCGTCTGTAAACTTTGAGTAATATTGCTTATTCGCCACATGTGGCCGTGTGAACCACCCCATAGGACCTGCCTGTCGCGATTTTAACGTGAACAGCTTGCGTCTGCTGAGCCATTTGTCACGGGTTCACGGAGCGTGGTGGCGAGCTTCGGACTGGGCGGAGCCTGCGTGCCGAGAATCGCTACATGTGCCTCAGTATGTCGACGGCGCCTACCGCTGTTTACAAACATGGAATGGGTTTATACGTCGCGTGCAGGTGTGAACATCAGTTGCGTATGTAGTCGCTTTTCATCGTCTTGTGCTACTTTTCGCGCGTTCAGTGCTAGTCGCAGTTGTGAATTAGTCATTGTACGTATCTCGTAACATTTCATGGACAGTGAAATGACCATAGCGTGTGTTTCTCTATCTCTGTGTGCAGATGGCGCGCGCGGTGCCTTGTGGGTGAGTTGCATCTGGGCATGATGGGTCCCCTAGTGCCGCGTTGATGGTGCAGCGGGGCATCTGCTCCGGTGCGGCGGCGGTGACGTCATGAATGACGCCGCGGACGACGAAGGGGGCGCCACCGTTGACGCGACCGCGCTCTACCTGGCCCAGCTGAACCAGCGCATACGGCGGGGATGCACGGCCCACGCGGATCCCGCAGGCCGCATTTACTACATGAAGTGAGTACTGCACGACTCGGGGTTTTTTTCTTACAGCGTCATTCGTCGGTTTCATCGATGGTGCATCGTTAATTGACGCGTCTACACGATGCCTTCCCAAACAGGTCGCAAAAGATGAGCCTTGGAGTTGACCAACGATCTCGTGTTGCTGTTTTTTTTTTTTTGTCTGGTTGAACACTTTTCCTCTCTCCATGTCGAAGGTTTCACTGCGATGCCTACTCATTATTATGGTAAAAAAAGCTCTAGGGATCACTTCCGACCCTGTCTGATGTAGAGCTACCTGCCTGCACGCCACTTGGCTAACTGCAACAGTGAGCCGACCAACTCGGTGTCCGTCAGCCAGCAGGTAAAGTCATCTAGGGTGCGATCTTGTGCTCATTCTATGAACGAACGAATGTTTGGACCGTAAAGTGATAGCCTAAGTTAGCACTCGCGTTAGCGCCTCGTCGGGCATCTACCAATCGCGTGCGTCCAGAAAGTTCGTTATTTTTTGTAACTGGTGTAGCGATATCGCGCCCGTATAATATTTGGCTTTAATATATGGGAACCAGCTCTTTGGCTCTCGTGTGTAACGCCGTACGCACGTGCGCCCGTACGAACGCGGCGCAATGCGTTCCCCTCGCAGCAGGTGTAGGAGCAGTGCCAAATAGGTCACGCTGCAGCTGCGCGTTGACGTCGCGCTCCCCTCGCACGTTTCCTTCGCAGGTGCGCGCTTGCGTCACTCTCTCCTTCACCCACAGCAGGCTTGCCGCAGCGCCCGCAGCTGCCACAGAGATTTCGCGTGTTTGCAGGAACCTCTCAGCGTGCATTCACCGATCTCAAGGCCGTGGCAGTCAAGGCGAAACGCGCGCGGGCTCCGGCCCAGCGCCCGTGCCTCGACTCTGAAGAAACGATGACTGCGAAGTCTTGCCAAATGCTTTAATGAATCTTACACGAAACCCAACGCGCCTCCCTTGCCTTTGTGTTTCAAACAAACGTTTACTCGAGTAAACAAACGCTACACCGAGTTTCGCTTGAAACTTTTCTTCCAGCACCCGCATCGCCGTCAGTTTCAACCGGGGCAGTGCCGTGCGCACCGCTGCTGCTTTGCATCCCCTCAGGGTCCCCTTCTGGGAGATTGTCCGTAATCTTTTCGCCTTTCTGCGCATACATAGTTAGGTAGTTCGTTAATTGTTTAGTTATGAATGCCAACATCCTTATTCAGGCCCAGGAATGGTGGGTGTTACCCAACGAAATTAAATTTCTAGAACTTCGCAGACAAATATACCGTATAGAAGTCGTAACAACTTGCTGAGAGTGAGTTGCTCTAGCAGTGTTTGGCATACTTCTCAGTGTTAGCGCTTTGTTCCTCGGCTAACCTTTAGAAGTGAAGGAAGTTCACGTTGATGAAAGCGCCGTCGAAACGAAGGGGTTCGTGTGGCGTGGAGATGCGATGAGTAGTGGTGAGGTCAAGAGACATCTTCATTCATCGCCACCTGTGCTAGAGGTCTTTGTTTTATGTGTTTTATGTTTTTTCCCTTATGTGTGCGTGCACCGTGAGGTGGTAGTGTGCACGGCAGTGCGGCGCTTGTGTGGGAGGCGAGCGCCTGCATCTATAGCGGCGCGTGACCCGAGGTGCCTTCCACGCGCAGTCGGGCCCCCCTTTTTGACGCAGTGCAGGACGACGAGGCGGAACTCGATCGCGCTGTTCTTCGTCGTGGTCCGTACGTGTATCGATCCTGGCTTTCAAGGGACCCGAGAGATTCCACGGCCGAACCTGACCGCCCGGCGGCTCGCTCGGGAAGTTCAGCCGCCCGGAGTGTATTGGCTGCGCCGCCGTCTCTCCTAAATACCTGCAGCGCTGCGGCAGCTTCTCTATCGCCACCCAAGCGGTCGCCAAGAGTGCAGGCTTCGCAGCGCAGCAACATGCGTGTGGCGCGTTTACGGAGCGTTAAGGTCCCTGCACCTACCGAAGGTGCAGTACTCACGGATTCAAACGCGACATCATTTTTTTTAACACGAAAGTGTTCTATGTCGGGGTCCACTGAGATTTCACTGACGTATTTCCGTTACGGAAATGACGTCAAAAACATACGCACGATCAGAAAAACACTGAGCACATCTATACATAATGGATTGCATGCACCATATTCCACTCTAAAGTCGGCGAGGTGATGTCATGTTCTAATAGACTGCTCTATTATGAACGATCACCCCCTTATGAACTTCGCTACTTATTAGACCTGGACTACGTAGTCTGTATTGGTTTAGCGAGATGTTATGTTGAGTTCTTGACTTCTGAAAAACAAATGTAGTGCGAAACAACACAAGGGCAGACAACGAATCATTTCCCTGTTCCACCTCGCCTTGTGTGTTTTTGCGCTACAGTTTTTTTTTTCTTGAGAAGTGTGTGTTCATGGCGCCCCTGACGTTTTTCATTTGACGTTGTGTAAAGCCACACGCACTCTCTGGGAAAAAGGGGGAAAAAAATCCCATGAATCTTTCTCGTGGGTCCTGAATTGCCACTCACCCGTCTCTTTTCAAAGAGACAGGTTAACTCTCCGACGAGGGTATAATATGCCGGATAGAGCAACGAGCAACTCTCGAAACAGGCAGACGTAGTTCGCGCCGTAGCGGCTATTAGCGCGTGTACATTCATTAAAGTGCTTTTTACAAGGGCTAACTCGCCAACCGAATCCTATAACTGGTAACATGACAAAAGCATCCGATGACAACACAAGACACAGAGAAAATAACACACGAAAACCAACATACAATGTACGCGCGAGTGCGCCGTCGCCGACTACGCCAAAACACAAAAGCGAGAAAGTTCCGACACAGCGCCGTTTCTCGCATGGGCAACTATGTCAACTATATGTCAACTACGACGCGTGGGTACCGTAAGGCAAAAGCTATACTTTATAAGTAGCGATAGCATTTCCATATATTGTCTCCAAAGAGAGTTCACGCGCATCATTTTAGGGAGCTATGTATGGGGTACGTGAGGACTCAGAAAAAGAAGGAAAAAAAGAAAAAAGTCAGATATCTCTCTTTGGGAGTGCATGCAGGAGAGAGAAAAACAGAGGGCTAAGGATTCACCCGTGAAGCGGGAAGCGACACAATGTATACCAACTGGCGCTAACGCAGACCCCAAATCTTGTTCTCGCGAGTTACAAAGTGCAACATAATACGTAAGTGACAATAATCTAAATGGTGTGGGAGCACGGGGCTTTAAAAAATGTCCTGCGAGTTTTTGAACAGAAATGAATATTCTCACTGAGATGCAGGGTCGTGCTGCTTACAACTTGGCTCCTAGTAATTTGCTTCGATTCGAAAGGGAGAGAGAAAGAAACAGCAGTCCTACTTATGCTGTAAGGAAAATGTGATGGGACAGCTTAATGGATCACCTCTACAGCCGGTGGCGGAGGGCGCTTTTAACTGACGATTGATTGAGTTATTATACAAGTGCTGCCGGCGCTTGTATAATAACTCAATCAATCGCGTGTATCCCTTGAAGCTCCCATGAGCCCGTCATAGGAAAGTTCGATAAAGCGATCAAAATGGTCTTGTTATAGAATCACGGGGGAGTACGTGCGATCGGACTGAAAGCTTAACTCACGATAAGTAGTAAGTAAGAACAGAAAAAGCTTTTCTCTATCGGAGAGGCGCTTATTTAGCTTATTTTCTGACTGTTTCGACTGCACTAGCTTTAATGGCAGCCGTGGGAGTGCTTTCTCCTTACAATCGTCATCGTCAGCTGAAGAAGCAAGCACGCGATGTGGACTGCAGTGTGGAAGCGGATGGGGAGCCCTCTGGGCATCATGAGCGCTGGCGCCTGATTTTATTTGCTGGCGGCCAAGTGCGGCTCGGGAGTCTCCGACTCTTGCAGTGAGAAGATCGATGCGAGAGAGAGAGAGAGGATAAAGGAACGGCAGATAGCCTAACTGAGTTCGGCTGGCTACCCTGCAGTGAGAAATAGCAATGGGAGCAAAACATCGTGTTTATATACTGCTCTCGCAACTACGATTGAAGGAATGGGGAAACTTTTTGGGTTGTGGACATTCATTTCGAACATGTTGGCCTGCACCGTTCCGGTCTCTTCTTCTCTTGCTGTCCTGACGCAGAGCCGTATACTCTCGTGGGTTGCAGAGGTGTAAGCGCCATCGCCAACTTTACGCAGTAGACTCGAAACGTGGTGTGGGTTGGACACGCTCCAGCTGACTCGACTCGGGAAGTTTTTCTTCCGGGTTAAACATCTCTTCTCGCGCTCAGACAGCCGTGTTTCCTTTTTTTTTACCTTCTTTATGAGCTTTCCTTGTTATACGTGGATGAGGTAACGATCGATCTCCTGTGTTATAGTCGAGATATAAGCCGATTTTCCTGGTCTCAACGATGAAATGAGCGTGTTGTGCTGATGGCGCGACCTATAGTTGAGCATTTTCACAAATGATGGACGTGTCAACGAACTATATAGACGGTTATTGAACTAAAGTTTCGTAATCGGAATCGTTTAGCGATGCAGATTTCGGCACGTCGTTGTCTACATTGTTTTTAATTCCTTATTTGTTCTGAAGTCTTCAAAGTCGTGTCTAACTTTAGTTTAGAGTGCCGGCACTTTTGTTGGAAATATTCAGCTTTTTTATTTTGTGAACTGTCAAAATTTTACGCTGAGAGAGCGGACGCCAGTTTAGCTGTCTAATTGTCACCGTTGTCGAGGACATTACTTCCAGACAGTTTAGTGCTCGGTCACGGCTAGTTTCACGAATTGAGCCTGAAAAGACTGGAAACACTAGGGTTGAATTACACTCTGGTTTTGTTGTATGCTCAGAAGTTGTTAAGGGGTAAACACGATTTTGCAGCTCGTCATGCATTTCGCTGTCTCTGAAGAGTGTAATATACGTAAAAAAATTGCCCGCAGCTTCCCTCGGGGGAACACTGAGGAGGATGCGGAGCATATAATTGGTTAACGGGGTGTTAAAGTGCGACTTACTTGGGTCGATGGCTAAATTGGTTAACGTGGT